TTACTTCACAAGCACCACTATTTTACACTTTTATTCAAGAAGAGTTAATGCAGCATGACAACACATTTTAAAGCATTTTGTTGCATAATTTTACCTATATTGTGCGTTTGAAGTAGCTGACAATAATTTTGGCTAATTTTGGGTTTGGTTGTTTTCTTTGCTTTGTTTACTTTTCGCTCGTTTTCCAGTGAAACAAGATGGCGTAGAACCCACTAAAAAAATTGACTTTTTTCACTCTCTTGTTCTTACGTGATTTTGTGTATTTCGTTCATGAAGTTTAATGAGAAGTTGCAAATGAAAAAGTTGCCATCCCTATTCAGACGAGGCGATTTTTGATTCGACACGAATTGTTATTTAGGCACTCCGCACATTAAGCGCCTAGTCATAGTAGTGCAATCGTTCCGGCATACTAAAGTACGAAGCTTTTATGCCGAACACATGTATTTCAATGAAGCTCTGTATATTACGATTCATAATCACGTTTTCGCCTAATCATAAAAGCTTCATCAATCGAAGCGCCCAACATTGTAAGGCGCTTGCCGTTTTGAACACGTCATTTGTTTACCTTTTTTGTGTTGGAAATAAAAATTATTTATCATTTCAATAGTAAATAATCTAAAATAAATGATTTTGTGCTAAAACTCGTGCCAATTACATTAAACCATAAGCGTTTATGCAATATTTTATTGCAGAAATATTCGCTAAAGTATATCACTAAGAAAAAACGGTCAGAAAATGTGTAATGTGTGTGCCACCAGGGCTTATGCAAGTCGTGCAAGTGTGCAGAAGTGGAGTCGTCATGCATTCGTTTCGGCAAGACGAAACAATTACTCTGCTATGAATAGGCGCGTAATGGGCGGAGTGCCTTACATTATTGAAAATGAATTTCAATCGCAATCAATTTTATCAATTGGCGTTAATTTGGTAAGCCAAGCGTTGGTAGAAGTGCTTTTAGCGAAGCTGAAAGATAAACTAAAAGTAAAAAAGAAAAAAGTTTGTATACAGAATGTAAACAAACACAGGGTTGCAAGGAAAAAAAGTTGAACGAGCTCAAAGTTGGCTGGCGACCAACTTTGTTGAAAGCGATTAGTTGAAAGGCAGTTCGGCCGAGGCGATTTTTGCTTTCAACTAAAAGTTGCCTGAAAAATCGCCTCGTGCGAAAGCCCTATGAGTGAAAGTGAGAAAGGTGTTCTCTGCAAAAGGTGTTCAGCCCATGTTCAGCCCCTCTTATTCGCAAAACAGAAAGGAGAAGTCTACTTTGTGAGGGTTATAATCCAAAAAAATCAATACTTCTATAAATAAAGAAGATTAAAAAAAAAAATAGCGCGAACATTTGGTTGGTGAAATGTTCAACTTAACAACAAATTTCTGGAAACTATGAGCTTCCTCGTCGTCTCGTTTTCAGTTTTGTGATGTGTACGAACCCCTCTACCTTCAATGAAGTCATTTTCCCCTAAATAAATCGATAACTCGATGAATAATGAAAATTTTTATTAAAATCAATACTTCGCCTGCCTCGCATTCCTTTTATAAAACAGTATTTTAATATAAGGTGAATACAAAAACCCCCCTCTTTTTTTTACTATTCCCATCGTCTGGCAGCACCAATATTTGTGTTCATTTCCACCACATCCATGGAATGGGCTGTGTTTGCTTACGCCTAAAAGCACATTTAGCGCATTTAGCTCTAAGGGCCGTTTGCACCATGTCTAGTTAACGCTAACTGGAGGTACATCCTTCAGTTAAGCACGTTAACTGCTTTATCGATCACATGTTATATGATGGGTGTCGATTACGTCGATAAAGATGTTTAACTGGGAGTTAGAATTAACTAGACATGGTGCAAACGGCCCTTAATATACATTTATCCATACAAAATTCGTCACTTAAATGCAACTAAATGCAACTCCATTTTTGCATTAGGAATCTAAATGCTAAAATCAACCCTGTGATCTTCCAAAATTTCCAGGATTCGAACATGGTTTAAAGAGAAAAAGTGGCAACATTGCTTTTTCGAATATACAGTTGCTAGCTGCGTTTCAGTGATCGCCGATCGAGATTTTTTTTATTTTACATTACATATTTAGATAAATAAAAATTACGAAAATTCAACATCGATGTGATGCTGGTAGAAATCTGGATCAATTTGTGATCAATTCTGTTTGGTTTGTTTCCTGTTGACAGCACACAAACAAATGTTCGGTTATGGCTAAAACAATTCAAGTTTTTGTATTGAATTTTTGGTTTAAAATTTATTTTTTCCTTTTCAGTAGGGTTTTTGCACATTATCCTCTTCGTGAGAATTGATCGTAATATATACGGATCTAAATAAGAGATTGGAACACGGCTGTTTGTCAAAAGCATACGATTTCGAACTGGCGTAAATGTACATTTGCTAAATGCTATAGCATGAACGCTCTTCGAAAACATTTGTTCGAAAGTGCTAAATGTTGCATTTTAAATGCAGCAAATACGCTGCATAATCAATAAACTTTGTATAGTGAAGTGTGCAACTTTAAAAGTTAATAACCTTTTAAATAAAAGCCTCCGCGCGGGAAATGTTTAGTAGCGCTCACATCGTTTTTGGGGTGGGTGGTGGAGGGGGAGAAGGCGGGGCCCCCAAACCCCCCCACTGGAAAGGGGACAGTCTCTGCTGTATAAAAAGGCGTACTCCCCCCTTGGGCTCCTGCCACAGTCCCCTAGGGAACCGTTTGAAAAAGGGGGAAAACGGAATTTTCCTAGGCAAACTGGGCAGTTTGAAGTGGAATATGACCCAACTAACAGAAACCGTGGGATTTTTTAAAAAAAGGAATTATGCCAAATTAGATATCGGGTGATTTTGTATAAAGAATAAAAAAGGTAATTAAAAATAGAAAAACCAGTTTTTATAAAAAAAATGTTCTTTTTAACAAATGTACTTTTGCGTAGAATTCCTTTCTGCGTAGGAGGCCCCAAAGTCAGACGCGTGATTTTGAAAGTGTTTTTATTTAATGAATTGTGGTTAATTGGTTAATATTAAAGTCGTAAAGCAAGTTATAACTAATCGANCTCTTCGTGAGAATTGATCGTAATATATACGGATCTAAATAAGAGATTGGAACACGGCTGTTTGTCAAAAGCATACGATTTCGAACTGGCGTAAATGTACATTTGCTAAATGCTATAGCATGAACGCTCTTCGAAAACATTTGTTCGAAAGTGCTAAATGTTGCATTTTAAATGCAGCAAATACGCTGCATAATCAATAAACTTTGTATAGTGAAGTGTGCAACTTTAAAAGTTAATAACCTTTTAAATAAAAGCCTCCGCGCGGGAAATGTTTAGTAGCGCTCACATCGTTTTTGGGGTGGGTGGTGGAGGGGGAGAAGGCGGGGCCCCCAAACCCCCCCACTGGAAAGGGGACAGTCTCTGCTGTATAAAAAGGCGTACTCCCCCCTTGGGCTCCTGCCACAGTCCCCTAGGGAACCGTTTGAAAAAGGGGGAAAACGGAATTTTCCTAGGCAAACTGGGCAGTTTGAAGTGGAATATGACCCAACTAACAGAAACCGTGGGATTTTTTAAAAAAAGGAATTATGCCAAATTAGATATCGGGTGATTTTGTATAAAGAATAAAAAAGGTAATTAAAAATAGAAAAACCAGTTTTTATAAAAAAAATGTTCTTTTTAACAAATGTACTTTTGCGTAGAATTCCTTTCTGCGTAGGAGGCCCCAAAGTCAGACGCGTGATTTTGAAAGTGTTTTTATTTAATGAATTGTGGTTAATTGGTTAATATTAAAGTCGTAAAGCAAGTTATAACTAATCGAGTAAAGTGTAGAGCGAAGTGGAATACATAAATGTATTGGTGAAGTGGCTGCTTTAAGGAGAATAGAAGTGATAAATGTACGCTAATTTCCGAATTTTACAAAAAAGGGCATATTTCAAACCCAATTTGGAAATAAATTAGTGACCAAAATTTACAAATTGAGTGTTAAAATAGTGCGTAGACCCTTGACTACAAGTGTGTGGATTTTTTTTTGGATCGGGCCACCCCTTTGGACGGAATAGCCCGAAATAGTTGTGAGCGCTACTAATCCCGACCCCTCCGCGCTCTTCTTTTTTCAAATTTGGACCGACCTTAAGGAAAATTCACCCCAACTACAGAATACATACTAGCCCGAACACAATGAAAACGACGAGCTACAAACCACAGCTGTCAAATTATTTTAACACGTACTCTTATGTAGATAATTATTTTGGCGACGACCGGACTACGCGACGGCTGTGGTTGTGGCCAGATTAGATCTATTTCCATTTTTCTGGCGACAGATAACGTTCTTCCTCTTCTTTTATGTCAAACTCATACAAATTTATGATGTCGCTGCCGCGTTCAAATAAATCATGTCGCCATCGACAATGCATTTAGATAATGAAGATGACAAATTGGAAGCTGTGGTCCGTAGCTCGTCGTTTTCAATGTGTTCAGAACTTATGTCTTCAAAATAATAGGTTTGTATAGTAACCAATAGTCAGTACTAATTTGTACTGGAACCTGCAAATTTTTACTGGAAAAGCGTATGATAACCCAAAAAATTTGCAAGAGAGCACTGAATCGAGAGCGTAACAACACGGGAGAGCTGCAAATTCTTGCTAGTGAAATTTTTACTAGCAGAAATTAGCTAGCTGAAGAAGAAGAAGAATAAATGTCAAAAGCCGCCATTTGTTGAATTGGTTTAGCACAAACAAAAGTAAAAGGAGTTTAAATCAAAATATTGTGACTGTGTAAGTGCTTGTGTGTAAAGCAGAGTTTAAGACTGATTTATAAATAGTAAAATGTTTACAGCAGAATGTCAAAACAGTGCAACGACTGTTCACTTGCAAGTTTTTGCTAGTTTTGTGTTCATTAACTTTTTCTGCTAGTTTTCTCTTCTTCTCAATTTTACGCTCTATTTTGCTTTTACGCTCTCGCTGCAATGTTTTACTGGAGAAGTTACTATACAAACCTAATTTTACGATTATTTTGTAATTAATCGATTAATAATCGATTAATGAAACATAAACTGTGATACAATTAAATCGTAAATTGGACAGAATTAATTGATTAATTTAATCAAATGACTAGTCGCTGCCATTCCTATCTAGTACACAAGACAACTGGCTTCGAAATGGTTTGGCTTAGTAAATTTTTTTATATTGTGGCCCTCTTATTCCATTTAAAATCTTCCTTGGTAATATAACCTAACATTATCCTAATATTTGCTAAACTAGGGTTTTTTTCAGTGTTATGATAATTGGATTAACATCGAATTAAGCCATACCGTTGATTTGGAAAATCTGAACGTTTTTAGCTATAGAGGAAATGTTACTATTGCAAATTGGGATATTGGGTTAGCTAAAATCTCTCAGGAACCTCTCACTGATCATCAACGATCGAACCTTAGGGTGAGTTACTGGAAGTACGTGTGTAGGGAGTTTAAAGATAATATTTGGTCTTAGGGTTTAGCAGAAAAACACCGGTTGTACAGACTAAAAGCAGAGGTCGCCTATGCTAACGGAAAACGAAAAATCTTCTTAAGTGCGTCGAGAGCATGCAATCTTATTGGAGCCAATTTAAACGATGCGCTGTCTGTTTCTGTGGACAACAGTGGCTATGTGAATGCTGTTACGCTATTAACAATCGCTTCCGATAATTGGTAATGTTTTATTAGACATACATATGTACATTATACGCACGGCAACCATACTTTGAGAGCTGAATACGGGACACAAAATAATTTTGCAAATTTTTT